CTAGTGCAATCACATAAAATGGCTGCCGAAATGAAGACTACTGTACCTAAGGGAGATACCTTTTTTCTTTTTTGCCACACGGTCGATGGCCATGTTTATCAGCGAAGCTTAAGCTTAAAATATACCTGCAGAACACACCTCGAGGTAAATTTCAAACTCGTCAAGCTTGGAATTCGTAAAGGTAAGATACATTGTTCGTGTTGTGGGTATGCGCATCAAGATTAATCTCAATTACATTTGTAAGGCACGTTGGTGCGGGCACAGAAAACACCAGGCTATTATGCTAGTCGGTAAGCTATGGTAACTCAAAGTTTCCGGAAGTGAAACAAAATTGCTGAGATAATTGCACCCCTATTATTTACGATTGCGATATGCTTCATCCAGCAATCTGTATGTTGGTTGTCTAGGTTGTCATGGAAGCAGTGGACAGCAAGTTCTTTGCAACGGTGAACAATTACACAAGAATACGCGAGGAATTATGGCATGCAATCGAGGAAGAAATTGAGCCTAAAGATTGTCGGATATACAGGTACTTTGAGTTCGGTTTTTCTTTTGAATTTTGATCCTAAGAGCACGGAAGAAACGCATAAGATTTTGCTGTGAATTTGAATTAGTATGATTTGAGGTTCTTCCTATACTTTTCCAAGGTTTTGTGTCTTTTACCGTAAAGCATTGCGGGAAAGTCCAGCGTAGCTTTATTTTGAGCAAGTTGAGATTTGGTAGACTTCTTTCTAAGCTGAACAGGGGCTAGCTTTTCTGGGTGAGAAGCTTGCTAATGGGTAGAGTAGGAACAGAAGGAGGGTATATGGAGGAAAGTTGGCCATTATTGACTAGCTTTTCTGAATGAATCATGTCTCTGAAACAAAGAAATACCCCACATCTTTCCTTTTATTTCTCCCCGCCTGGTATTCAGAAGTGCAAAAAAATCTTTCAAAGTCTCCTTTCCGCAGAGAATTCACCCCCTTTTTCAGCTTCAAACCCAATTACAAGGATGATCCGTTTTCGGAAGATGGATGTCTTTGGTGTCTCAACTTCTTTTTCCACAATAAAGGCCTCAAACGATTGATGTTGCTATCATGTCGAGCGCTGTCTCAAAATGGAGCTGTTCCCGGTGAAGACCCACTTTGGGACCTCGATGATTAGAGTCTGTGTCACTGTGAGTGAATAAGGCATCTTGAACAATTCCCCATTGCACAACATACTTAAGCACTTATCTCTTCCGGTTTTTGCATTCGTTTCCATATAGAACCTCATCCATAACCTCGTATTGCTAGTGTGTTGCATAATATAAATATGCAAACAGAATGAATGTTGAACATTCTAGAGTTTTTTTTTGTATTCAAAGCCAGTTTAAGGGCGAAACGATTTTGAGATTTTGTGCTTACCCGGGCCTACTCCCTAT